CAAATTTTTTTTTTATTAGGATTTAGGTGAAGATTTACAGAGTAAATTCACTTTTCATGCAGCAGTTCACATATACTTTGTCTCATGTCATTGACCAAAATTTACAATGCAGCAGCTCCCCTCCCACTTCCTCCCCATAGTTACCTCCTCCCAGTGTCCATCCCTTCATTCAACAAATATTTTTTTGAGCACACACTTAATAGAGACACAGATGTGACTATCATAGACCTAGTCCTGACCTTCATGGGAAATGGACAATAACAAATAACCAAATAAATATAAACAAAATACATACAAACTGTGACAGGTAATATATAGGGTGTAGGTATGGAGAATAATAGAGGAGAGAACTTTCTTAGATGGAGTGGTCAGAGAACACCTCTCTCAGTAGGTGAGATTTGAGCCAAGACCTAAACATGGGAAGGAGCAGACCACACAAAATTTTGAAAGGAGTATTCCAGATAGAAAGAATTACAAATACAAAGACTCTGAAATGGAGTAAGCTTGGTGAGTTCCAGAAAGACTGTGGCTGGAGCATGATGAGTGAAGAAAAATGGTAGGAGGCAAGATCAGATTATGCAGGCCCAGGTAAGGACTCTGGATTTCATGTTAATCACAATAGGAAGCACCAGTGAGTTTGTGCCTAAGGCACTTGACTGCTAACCAGAAAGCTGGCGGTTCAAACCCACCAGCCACTCCTCAGAAGGCAAGTTAGCCAATCTACTTCTAGAGATATTGCCTCAGAAACCCGAGGGGTCCCTATGAGTTGGAAACGACTCGACAGCAATGAGTTTGTTTTTTTTTTGGGGGGTGGTGGTCTAAGTGAGAGATGGGTTAGTGCTAGACAAGGAAGGTGTAGTGAATTGTTATAAAATGGCTCCCAATGAATCACGCTTCCTTTGTGAGGTCCTCTCCCACTCTGACTCTGGACTGACTTTGTAACTTGTATTAACCATTAAAATGTGGTGGAGCTAGTGCCATAGGAGTTCTGGAAAGTTCGGTGTTAGGATACCTTGCAGCTTCCATTCTCACCCTTGTGAACCTCTGAGACCACCACGTTAAGAAGCCTGGGATACCCTCCTTGAGGATGAGAGAGCATATGGAAAGCCAGCACCAATCCCCCAGATATGTGAGTCCACCTTGGACCCTCCAGCCTTTATTGAGCTGTCAGATGACTGCAGCCACGTAAGTGATTCCACATGAGACTAGCACAACTGGCCAGATTGCCAACCCACAGCAGCATGAGAAATAATAAATCATTGTTGTTTGGAGTCAGTGGATTTTGGAGTGGTTTGTTATGTAGCAATAGATAACTGAAACTGAGAAGGACAGATGAGATATATTCTATCCTTCTCCTTGAAGACAATTTAGAAACAGATTTGTTTCCTCCAAGCCCAGCCCACCTGCGCATTCTCCTTGGAAAAGCACTTTCACAAGTATCTGGGACTATAGGCCCTCATGTTAAACAAAAGAGCCTTTAGGTGTGGCTTTGATTTTCTACGTCTGCTTGGTTGTACAGCAGAGGTGTGGAGATGACTTCATGGATTTGAGTTAAGCCTTAGCACAACTGTATTTATTGGATTATCTTGTCCAAGTCTCTCACTTCTCTGCCTCTCAATTCTACATCATTCCAAAGATAAGAAGGTCTGTCCTACTGATCTCAAAATAATAATAGTACACATGAGTATGTCACTTGTCATATCACAAGCACTATTCTAAGCTGTTGACATACATTAACTTTTTCAGTCCACATGACCATCCTGTGAGGTAGGGTATTTTATGATCCTTGGTCTACAGATAAAGAAGTTGAAGTTTATAGAGGCTAAGAAATTTGCCCAAGTCAGGGGTTGATGAGTGGTGAAAATAGGATCTGAATCTAGGCATCCTAGCTTCAGGGTTCTGGCTTGTATTTCCAAAGGAGATTGGGATATGAAAGCCCTTTTGGAAAAGTAGAAAACATGAGGAAGGGGAGAATGGAAATACTGAGGAATAATTTGCCATTCAGGAAGCTTTGTTGCTCATCAGTCATCCCTCTTGAGGTAGCCAGAAATGGTGGGAAATGCCCAGAATTCAGACTTCAGGAGAACTCATTGCCTGTCTGGAATCTATGACTTATTAGATATGCAGCTCTGAGAAAATCATTCCCAGTCTCTTTTCCTCCACCTTGGAGATAATATCTGTTTTGCTACACCTTGGGATGGTTGTGCAGGTCATAAGAGTTCATGGATTGGTGTGTTTAGCTCTCCATTACTGCATAACAAATCACCCCAAAACTTAAAACAACTGGACTCATCTGGGCAGCTATTCTATCCATAGTGTTCGATAAAGCTATTTACGTGGATGCATTCAACTGGCAGTTGAGCTGGGGTGGGAATGTCTAGAATGACTTCATTCACGTGTCTAGTGTATTCTCAGCCACTCCTCGGAAGGAAGATGGGGCAATCTACTTCCGTAGTGATACTGCCTCGGAAACCCAAGGATGGGTCCCTATGAGTCGGGTCCGACTCGACGGCACATAACAACAACAACAGTGTATTCTCGCTGGGGTTTCTAGACTGTCTTGGGGAGCTGGCTGGGCCTCCCTCTCTCTCCACTTGGCTCTTCAGCATGGTGTCAACTTATTTACATGGTGGGTAACTTCTAAAAGGTGGAAACAGAAGCTGCCAAGTCTTTTAAGGTCTAGACCTAGAAGTGGCACAGAATGACTTGTATCATGTTTCATTTTATTTTTTTTTAATTTTTTATTGTGATTTGGGTAAAATGTACACAGCAAATTCCTTTTCCATACAGCAGTTCATAAGATTTTGTCTCATGACATTGACTGCAATTCCCCATAATGTAACAGCTTTCTTCCCACTTCCTCCTCATAGTGACCTCTTCCCTGTGTCCTTCCCTCCCATGTACTCCTGCCCCTTCCGAGCTGTACCTGACCTGTACCATATTTTAGTGGTCAAAGTAAGTGACATGACCAGCCAGATTCAAGGGGAGGGCAGACAGATTCTACCTCTTGGTGGGAGAAACAACATATTCATACAAGGATGGGAGGACTCTTTGGCAGCCATCTTTGCAGACAATCCACCACAGTGGTGCTCATAGGTGGGGGTCAGAGTTCAACTGCCCCCCACAAGAAGTAGGTTAGATGAGAAAGTCTTATGAACATTTTCAGCATGATATTTGGCACACAGCACTCAGTAAGTTCTGCTTCTGATTATTATTTATTGTTGTTGTTGTTGTTATATGCCATCGAGTCAGCCCCGACTCATAGCGACCCCTCCTTGGGTTTCCGAGGCAGTATCACTACGGAAGTAGGATTGCCCAACCTTCCTTCCGAGGAGTGGCTGGTGGGTTTGAACCGCCAGCCTTCTGGTTAGCAGTCAAGTGCCTTAGGCACAATGCTACCAGAGCTCCTTATTATTTATTACTGTTATTCTTTTAACAACTTTTTGAAGCAGAGGCAGCTAGCACTGGTGCTATATCCAATCTCCTCCAATCTTAAATACCATGATTCTTTGAGCCCTTTTCTACAGACATGACTTAAAAAGGTTGAGTCTCCCTCTTGAAATGAAACTCAAAATCATTAAAAACAAACAAACAAACAGGTTTACTGGTCTAATGAAGACCAGTGGAACCCCCAAGAGTATGGTCCTTAGACACCCTTCAAGCCAGAAACTGAACTCAATCCCAGTGGCTCAACTTTCAGCCAAACAATAGACAGGCCTATAAGGTGAACAGTGATACCAGGAGGATACGCACTCATTAGAACAATCAACTGTAGGAGATCAAGAGGGCAGCATTTGCGCAGGGATAAGAGCTAGGAAAGTAGGAGGGAATGGGAAGTAGGGAGGAAGGGAAGTGGTGGGCACAGGGAGGAAGTGGGAAGAATGCTGTTGCATGGTGCGGATGGCAGTGAATGTCACAAAACAGAATGTGTATGGATTATTGAATGGAATTTTCTCTGTAAACTTTCACCCAAATTGCAATATATATATTTTAATGTTTCCCTCCACTAAATATGCTGCTTTTCATCTAATAAATTACTGGGCACCTATCATATACTGGAAGAGATATTGTTGTTAGCTGCTGTCACGTCAAGTCACTCAGACTCATGTTGACCCAATACACAACTCAGCTAAAAGCTGCCTACTCCTGTGCCATTCCCATGATTGAGGGACGATTGGACCATTGTGATCCATATGGTTTCAATGGCTGATTTTCAGAAGTAGCTTACCAAGTCTTTCTTCCTAGTTTCAGTCTGGAAGCTCCGCTGAAACCGGTTCAGCATCATAGCAACATGTAAGCACGACAGAGAATGGTAGTGGTGGCACATAAATTGCGTTGCTGAGAATCAAACTGGGTTTTTCTCATGAAAGAATTCTACCACTGAACCACCACTATACATTAGTATATGATGACAATTATTTATTGAATTCATACTATGTACATTATGCCATTGGTTCTTCATTGTAGGTGAAGGTATCATAAATGTCTCCCCATTTTACAGATGAAAAGACAGAAGTAGACGTTTTAAAAAGACAGGATCCTATCCTCACAGGGACTACCGTCTACTGAACAAGATATACGATAATCAAGCTAATAATTAAATATGTAATTTCAAATTGTTCTCGTTAATCAGACTGCTATTGGAGCCCCAAGTGCCAATCCCTCTTCCCCAAATAAAGGCTCCAGGTAACCCTGGCAACGGGTCGTACTGCCAATAGTAAAGATGGCGCCCAGAGAGCGAGCTCGGTTTCCACATACATCCATTACCCACAATCCGGGAGAGTGAGGAGGAGCCCTCTCTACCAGGAGTTAATATGGCGCCCATAGTTACACCATTCTCTTTTCCCCTAATCAGCGACCTAACTACCCAGACCAGGGTTCTGAACAAGAACTAAGTCTCCTGTGCCATTCCGGTTGCTATAACTCCAAGAGCTACTGAAGTCTGGTGGGCACCACGAGCAGTTAAACTCCGTAACCAAGGAAGCGCCATTTCCGCTGACGTCATTACGGCGACACGTGGATCCAAGATGGCTGCGGCGATGGTGAGTGAAGGAGACTCCGGGAGCCGGAGTTGGAACGGGGCCCTCCGGGGTATCCGAGGACCTTCCGGCTCCCCATGCCTGGTCCCGAGCCGCCTCCTGGATCCCTATATCATTCCTGAGGGCCACCCCTGACTGGGCTTGTCTCTCTCCAAAACCCCCTCCGCGGCGTTGATTCCGTTCCCCGCACTCAGGCTTGTCAAGGCCCTGAGTTTTGGGGGAGGCGCCGGGTTGGAGGGAAGACCTCGGCCACCGTCTCAGTCGGGTCCCATTCCTGTTTTCGTCCCCGCCCCCTGTGGCCCCCATTTTGCATTGCTCACTTCCCAGCCCTGACGGATCCGTGAGTCCCCCTTTATCGCCACCTTCGCTCCTCCCTCTCACGTCCAGACCCTGGTCATCCAGATCCCCGCCTCCTCACTACCCTGACCAGTCCACGAGTGCGACCTCACCTCTGACCAACCTCCCAGTCCAGGGCCTGTCTCAGCCTTTCCAGACCCCTGCCCTCACCTCCCAGCCTCACTCAGCCCTCGACTTCTGCCCCAGAGCATGCTCCCACCTCCCGAGCTTCCATCCCCATACTCTTGCCCAATTCTTTCTCTTCTTTCAATCAACCCTTGCCATTTTCTTTGAGACTCGCTTATCCAACTGGTTCTCAAATTTTACTGTGCATAAGTATCTCGGCGTGTATTGAGGGACAGGTGTTAAATAGGCAGTTTCCTCAGCCTGGCTTAGGTGATGCCCAGAAATTTAATTTGCACCTTTACAAGTAGACTAGTGTTTTGATTGAAGTTTGCTGTGAACTGTTTTTTTTTTTAAAAAAAAAACACTTATTTTAGGCCCACCTGGCTGCCTTCTCTTCCCACTCTCCTACAGAGCCACACAGCGCTTTAGGAGTGCAAGCTTGCTCTCAGCCTGTGTGGATCAAGGTGGAGGTAAAAGCTGTGCCTGGAAGGTGGATAAGAACTTGCTAGCTCCTGGTGCAGAAATCTGGAAGTACCTCTTTGAAGGACAGAACCAAAATTGAAGTAACTTAGTCCAGAGTGATTGCCTGGGTTGTGTTAGGTGTTGTTTCCTCAAAAGAGAATTTTATCCTGGGAGTGAATGAAGAGGAAGGCTCCAAAGGAAGTGGCATTTGACTTTCACAATGGAAGATTCTTGCTTACGCTCTTGAGTGTTGGTTTTCTCCAATCAGGAATAGATTATTGGCTGATAAAGGGTTTCCCTCGTTCTGTTAATGAAATATCCCTCTTGAAGTGAAGTCTGAACCCTGAATGGGGCAAATCCCAAAAGTAGTATGCTTCTTTTTTTTTTTTATACTGGACCACATTCACAGTGAGAATGATGTAAGAACGTAACAAAGTCACACCCTCTCTTGCCGTAGGGAAAAGTTCAATAAAATGGTAGCATAGTGGCTAAGGCACTAACTGCTAACCAGAAGGCTGGCGGTTCAAACCCACCAGCCACTCCTCGGAAGGAAGATGGGGCAATCTACTTCCGTAGTGATACTGCCTCGGAAACCCAAGGAGGGGTCGCCATGAGTCGGGTCCGACTCGATGGCACATAACAACAACAACATAGTATTTTAGCGAGCCCTGGTGTTGCAGTGGTTAAAGCACTCCTCTGTAAACCCACCAGCAGCTCTGCAAGGGAAGGATGTGGCAGTCTATTTCCTTAAACTTTTATAGCCTTCAAAACCCTCTGGGGCAGTTCTACTCTCAGAATTATAGAGTTGGAGGCAAATTCCACAGCAATGGGCTGGGTTTTTTTTTTTTTTTTTTTTAAGTATTTTACTGGGAAATTCCTGCCAGGGTCAAAGACTTTTAAGAGGTGATAAGTTAGCAATACATGTTTCTAGTATACATGTATTTAATCAACAAATATTTGAGTGCCTGCTTTGTGCCAGGAACTAGCACAGAATTAGAGGGTCAAGGTCCCTCCCTGCCCTTCTTGAGTTTTCTAGTCTGAGGAGACAGACCGGGAATAAGTAAATGTACGAACGAATCAGATAATGTCAGAGGGGTAAGTGCTGTGAAGACAGCAAGGTGAAGTGATAGTGATTGGAGGGGTGGAGTGATACAACTCCTTTGGACTAGGTGCTCAGGGACGTCTCAAGAGGTGACATGAGTTGAGACCTGATTGACAAGAGGAACCAGCACTGGAGATCCAGGGGATAGTGTTGCAGGCAAAGAAGTGGCCAGTGGAAAGAGCTTGGTACTGAGCTTGGTTTGAGGAACACACAGAAGGCAGTATGGGCTGAAGCATGGTGAGTGGTAGGGGTGGGAAGGTGATACGAGATGAAATTGGAGAGAGGCAGAAGCAGCTTAGTTTCTAGAGGCATGCCTGTGGTTGCAATGGATTGTAGTCTACAGTTTGCAGTCTGTGGGCATCTTGAAATAGCCTGTTCTATTAGGCTGCTTCCTCTTCCAGGACCATACGTTAGGAGTGTCAGATTGTTCTCAGCCTGCAGAGAGGCCATGGAGGAGAGTTTGCATTTTATTCTAAGCACAGTGGAAAGTGATCTGATGTTGTTGTGTTGCCTGGGAGTATTGTGCTTTCATGCTGAAAACAATAGCTGACTTCAAGGTACTGCCTATAGAAATGTGTACCGTGATCCACAGAGGCTAGTTAATGTGTGCACGTGAGACACTTTATGTTTGGTGCAACCGTAAAAAGGCGTGCAAACAGGTTTATTACTAGGGTATGTGTGTAACAGGCAAAGCAGGGTCACATATAGACTTGAGTTTGGTCTGTATCAGGCACTTTTCTTACAAGGAAGTCCCCACACCCTCATAAACAGGCCATTTCACAACCCTTAGGGGTGGGGCAGGATCTGCTTTGGGATATATTGGTTTCTGAGGCAGGTCATACAGCCAAAAAGGAACTGAGCTAGTGGATTCAGTGGCCATGGGAACAGGCTAGGTTTTTTGTTTTATTGTTTTGAAGATGAGGGTTTGGGTGGAAGTTTCAAATGTTATTTATGGGCTTTTCCCTCCCTCCTTTCCTTGCTGAATGACTCTTCTTCCTCCAAGGGTTGGGCTGCCACCTCCCAGGTCTATGTTAGCACAGTGGGTGTTTCCTGAATGGGCAGGGCAAGACTTCTCTCACCATAGGAGCACATAGCTGGTATAAGCTGAAATTCCCTTTGGTTTTCCTGCCTTCCTCCTGCCCTGGATTTAAAATACTGCTATAAAGCTTCAGAATTTGATCTAACTGTATCTGAAGCACAAAGCAGGCCCATGTATCTCACTTTTTATGGAAAACTTCTCTTGGTCATACTGTTTTGGTGGAACTTGGGAAGTGTCTACTGAGTATATTTGTAGGCATCTTAGGAGTCTAGAAACCTCAATCTAGAGAACAAAACTCTGATTTCTCTCATATATCATTATTCACACTGTCTTTTGAGTAATCTTTTTCCATTTTTAAAATTGAGATATAAAACAACAATGACAAAAAAAAACCCAAACTCACTGCCTCAAGTTGATCCCAACTCATACCGACCCCTCCTTGGGTTTCTGAGGTGGTATTTCTATGGAAGTAGATTGCCCAGTCTTCCTTCCGAGCAGTGACTAGTTGGTTTGAACCACCAGCCTTCTGGTTAGCAGTCAAATGCCTTAGGCACTATGCCACCAGAGAATAAAATACACTCTATTAAAAGGTACAATTTAATGGTTTTTGGTTTAATTACTCTCTAATTCCAGAACATTTTTATCACCCGAAAAGGAAACCCCATACCCACTAGCAATCACTCCTCCTTCCTCCAAACCCCTGACAACCACTAATCTTTCTGTCTTTATGGATTTGTCTATTCTAGACGTTTTGTATAGATGAAATCATATAATATATAGCCTTTTGTGTCTGGTTTCTTTTATAATAGCATAATGTTTTCAAGGTTCATCCATGTGATAACATGTATCAGTACTTCATTTCTTTTTATGTCCAAATAATACTGTATGGATATGCCACATTTTCTTTTTCCGTTCATCAGTTAGGCAGTTTCCACTTTTCTCTGTTGTAAGTAATGCTGCTATGAACAGTCATATTCCATTCTCTTGGGTATACACCTAAGTGGAATTGCTGAGTCAGTTCATACTGTTTGGTAGTTACTTGGGTTTGATCCAGTCCAGAGCAAGGGACTGAACTGAACGACCTCAAGACTTTTGCAACCCAGTCTCCCACCCTCAGTCAAACACATGAGAACTGTTTTTAGTGACAGAATCTGGTGCTAACCTTTGGGCAATGGATAGACTTTGGAACAGGAAGCCTAGACTCTGCCCCCAGTCTCATGTGTTGACTGTGTGGGAAGGTGCTATCTCCTCTGGGACTCAGGTATGGGTGAGCATCAGCAAAATTGAGACTGAAGTCAGGAGCTTGGGTTCAGTCCCAGAACCGCCACTGATTCATTGGCCAGGGGCAAATTACTTTGGCTCTCTTAGTCTTAGTTTCCATATATGGACTTGATTTCTAAATTCCAGACTGAAAATTCCGTGGTTTACAATGTTTGCGTTTAAAGTACTTTTGCAAATATGCCTATAGAATCAGATTTTTTTTAATTTTATTTATTTATTTTTTTCTATGGTCTTTCCAAGCTGTTGTTTATTGATTGAATTGTCCGTCTGATCCCTCAATTTGCTCCCCCAGCACGTGTTCTGCAGCTGTGATCTTGGAGCTGGGGTATCAACACTAGGCCTTGGTTAAAATGCGTATCTTCAAGGTGTTCCTTTCAAGGCGTGCCCTTATTCCCCCCCAGGAAGTACAGAGGAGGCAGAGATAGTATTAAGTTGCCTATTGGTTTCTTTTTACAACTTGGACAAAAGTTCCCCTTTGATCTCAACATTAAAGAAGTGGAATGTTGGGAAAAGGTTGAGTTTTGATCTCTGGGCACTGGCAGGAAGGTGGGAAGGACCCAGGATGAGCAGGGCCATCTGGCCAGAGTTGAATGACAGGAGCCACTTACCATCCCCAAACCGGCTTTTGATCCCTGAACCATTTGCTGACACCAGCAT